CTGCTGAAGGCTATTCTCACCTCTCTCCAGGGCAAGGAGGAAATCCCGGTTCCTCTGGAGCTCCTTCATGAACTCTTCGTTCTGCAGGAAGAGCGCGATCCGCTCATCCTCCAGGTACTGCTTCCACCGCCGCTCCTGCTCCAGGGAGCCCTGGCTCCGTGGGGGGAGCCCCCGTGGCACGGGCTGCTGGCAGCTGTGGGAGCCCTGGGCAGGGGGAAACACAACACGGGTGGGTCGGTGGGCTCGGTGCTGGTGTGTGCACAGGGCTCACTGAGCTCAGCATTCTGCTCCTCTGTTACACCCCAGCTCTGGGGACCATCAGCTGCTGCTCCCCCTCAGGGGGATCCCCCCCTCTGACACCCAGTGCTCAACAGCCCAGGGCACCGTGTCTCCCCCAGCTGGGTTGCACAGAGGGGAACAAGGGGACAGGGCACCACCACCTCTGCCCAGCGGTAAGGGGATGGGGCAGAGGCAGGAGGGGACACCAGGAATGGGGACTCCTCAATCTCGAGTCCGGGGGATGGAGTCAGGGAGAAACCGCTGCCTCTGGAAAACCTCCTTTGCAGAGCACAGACTTGCCAAGATTTTAAACTTCAAGCCCTCTTTTAAAAGCAGAGGCAGCAGTTTCCCTGCTGACAAATGTCCCTGCACGAGGCTCCACGCGCTTCCCCGGCTCCTGGCGTGGCAGCACCTGGGGAGCAGCAGAGCTGCCCTGGGCAGCCTCAGCTTCATCCTCGCCTGCAACATCCATCTGATTTGTAGCTGCTCACTGAGAGCCATAAAAAGCAAAAGCACACAATTACCCGGGAAAGAAAAGGGCAGCTGCTCCTCTCCTCCCCCTGAGCCCAAACCAACTGGCACGTTCCTATTCCCAGAAAGGTAATATAGCCCATGAAGCTCAACTTGCAGGGCAATCACTTATGAAAACGTGGCAGGCTGCCTTTGCAGTCCAAAAGGGAGGAGGAGAGGATGCACGGGAAGGCAGGGAACCCACAGCCCCCAGCCCCATGCCATGCCAGCGTTTCTGGGCTGGTTCCTGTCTTAGCCAAGGGGCACCCCGAGGATGTGACAAGCCTGGAACCAAGCTGGATGCCCAGCATGGTCTGTGCTGGGGCTGCTCATTCCCCATGGGATGCTGCTGCCTGCTCCAGTGTGGGCAGAAAGACAACCCCAACTGCAAGCCTTCTGGCTCTGAAACTACCCCAAAGCACATGGGTCTCTAGTTTCCCAGGGGCAAATCCTCTGGTTCACATTAGAGTTTCCACCCAAGTTCCCCTGCACCAGCCCTGAGCATCCTGGCAGTGCCACTCTCCCCAAGTCCTGCTGCTTTTCACCAGGGTAGCAGGTCATATTTTCAAATAATTCAAAATATTAGGTATAAGCAGTATTTCTGGCACTAACTGCTGGGCTAACAGAAGGAAAAAATGTCAGAGCTTCACTGGAAGTTTCCTCTTTCACACCTTGATTGCTTGAACAGCGAGAAGTGCTCCAAGACTTTTGATTTAGCCCATGCCTGGTACCCAGGAGCTTTCAGAGAGCCAACACTGCAAGCTCAGGGTGGCCAAGGACAAGGTTTGGTGCTGCATGGCACATGGTGGAGCTGTGGTGCTGGAAGGGGCAGCAGGCCTCACCTGTGTGCTGGCCGTCTGCTGGGGCAGGATGCGGAGGAAATCCTCGGGGAGGTTGCCCAGAAGTGGTGGGTTCCAGTTCCTGTAGCGCCCTGACGCCGGGGTACTGCCGGGCCCCGGCATGTCCGTCCTGCAGGGCAAACACAGAGAACACCTTTGGTGTGGGAGAACCCCCAGACATCTGCCACAGCTCCACCAGCAGTCCTGGGATCCCAGAAACCACAGCACACCTCTCAGCCCCACGTCAGAGCTGGCTCCGAGAGCACGAGGCTTTCCTGGACAGTTTGGAATCTTCAGAAACCGCTTCCCAAGCCTTGCCCCGCACTGCACAGGCTGGGTTTTGATCTTCCTCCCTGATTTACTCAGACTCCCAGAAAACAGCCCCGTGGCAGCCCTGGCACGGCAGGATGATGCTTACAAAGCCAAAGGAGGTCTCACAGATGTCACACCCAGCACAGCTTTGCCCGAGGGGGGTGGCACAGGGGCGGCCACAGGCACTTGCCCTCCCGTGTGCCCTGAGACCACGGCCGAGGTGGTGCTGCTGGGGGGATCCTGAACCCCACAGGGCCAGAGACCCCCGGGGCAGGAGACTCCCCGGGCTGGGCAGCCTGGCAGCAACGAGCCAAACCAACCCGAGGTCTCGGGTGCTGAGAGCCCCAACAAGCCAGGCCAGGCCTGCCCAGCACCTGGTGCTTCTGAGCCGGGCGAGCGCTCCCCGCCCCCACGAGCTGATTTTTGCCATTCCACGCGCTGCCAGAAGCAGCTTTTCCAGGCCCCTCAGCTGTTCACTTTTTGGGCCTCACGGGGATTTTTTAGCCAGCTGTGAGCTTCGTTCATCTCCCTTGGCTTCATCTCACCCAGCCCTAATGAACTGACGCCAGATGCCCCTTGCCAGGGCCAGCTGAGACACAGGGAGACCCCCTGGGTGGGCACCAGGAGCAGTGGGCACGGGGGGCTCACCGGGGTGGAGGGGTGGGTGCACGGGGCGGGCGGCTGCCCAACACCTGGCTCTCGTAGGCAGGAGGGGAATAGACAGGAGGGGGCTCCTCATCTGAGCTGTCTGGCTCCAGGGTCCGCTCCAAGATCTGCAGGGCAAGAGGATGGGGTGAGGGTGAGTCAGGGAAGCACCCCCTGCCAGGCTGGGATCCTGCGTGGCAGCAAAGAGGGAATAGGATAGGCTGAACAACGGGGTGAGGAGGATGGAAGCAACCTCCTGCAGGGTTTGGTGGTGTCATTCTCAAGACACCACATTTCGGGTGGGTGGGTGAGTGAGTCTGTCCCTGGGTGCACACAGCCCTCAGGGACCCCCTGCCAGCAGCAGCAGAGTCTCTATTGGGTCTCAGGGTGAGAAGGAGGGAGGAGAGCACTTTAGCTAGAGCCTCAAGCACTGTCCCAGACAGACCAGCCAGGCTGGATGCTCCAGCTCAGCCAAACTGGGCACTCAGACCCCTGCCCACCCGCAGCTGCCGAGCAGAACCATGCCCAGGCGGAAATGAGGAAGGATGAGACTGAGCTCCCTGCTGGTGATGAACCACGTGGCATCCAGGAGTGCAGGTAGGAGACCCACAGCCACACGCCAGGGACCACAGGGGTTACCTCAGGGGGGATACTGTCCTCCGAGTCCGAGCTGTCGTCGCAGCCGCTGCTGTCCAGGTTCATCTGCAGGAGCTGGTCGATGGTGGCGTCCACGGCGCCGTTGTTGGCCCTCAAGACGCACTCAATGATGTCGTAGTCCATGCTGGGGAACATGGTCTTGAAGTCCTCCATGGCCTGATTGAACTCCAGCCGGCGGACCTGCCTGGCGGGGCGGCTGTTGTTGAGCTCCTGGGAAAAAAAACCCCGGCACCCTGAGGGCGCGCGGCCCGGCCAGCCGGCGCGGAGCATGGGTGGGAGACGGGGGTCCCGCTCCCCGCGGCCGGCGGCACCGCCTCAGCCTCCGGCGCGCTGCAGCATCCTCCCACCTGCCGGGAGAGAAGGGGAGAAAGTCACCCGTGGGACAGAGCACCCCGTGACATCCCCACCTCGGCGGGAGACAATTCCAACTGGACACATCCAACCGCATCCTGGTGGGACCGTCCCACGCCAGAGGACGGATGCGCTGTGCCAGGTGCTGCGCCAGCAAAATGGGAGGTAGGGAGAAGGAGCATTAGAGGGCTTCCCCAGATTTAACATCTCCAGGTTTGACATGTATTTATAAACACAGTAAAATATCTCTTTAAAGTAAAAAAAAAAGGAGTCGGCTCAGAGCGTTTCAGAGCAAGGGGCTGAAATGCTCTGCAGAACGACAAATCGACCCTTGGGAAAAGCCACCAAATCCAAGATTAACATTCACTTTAAAACCATAAACAGATTATACAGCTACTGCTTCTCATTTGGAAATGCAGGGCCAAATTCAGTTCTGGATTAACTCCACTGTTAAAACAGAATTACCTCAGGAACACTTCTGATCCATAATATCATTTTCAAAGGCTTTGTCCTAAGCGGCAGGCAGAGTTCAAGATAACTGTCCCTAAAATGGTATTTAATTCAGAAGAATGTGTCAAGCACGTTTCTCAGTGAAACGGGGTATAATCAGATTCAAAGCCATTAAGAAGAGCAGTCACCTCTGAAGGTCACCCGGGCTCTCCCCTGCCCGCAGCGAGGCCGTGCGTGACAGCCACGTCCCCAGAGCTCACCCAGCCTCAGTGATTCCGGATGGGGGGATGATTCCTGCTCCACAGACATGCTCCAACCACCCTCCCTGGCTTTTTTCTAATCCTGGATGTGTTTGCATTCCAATGCACCCAGTGTGCCCCTTGGGGCACCAGAACCCAGCCAGCCCTTGGGCTGAGTGTGGAGCCACAGGGTCCTCCAGCTGGTGCTCCCATTGGATACAGGGTGGCTGTGCTGCAAACAGGCCTCTCCATGCAGCCAAGGTGGCTGGAGACCCCAGGCCTGCACTGAGATCCCACCTTTCCCAAAGCATTGTGCTCTGCAGGACAGGACCCATGGAAATGCAGCAGGAGGTTCACTGCCAGGCTCAAGGGGCCATTCCCAAATAGCACCCAGTTGGCTCCATGCTCACTAACAAAAAGCATTTAACAGAGAGACCATCTCCATCCCCAGGATCACCTCCTGCTCACCAGGAGCCAGGCACAGAGCAGCCTTGTGCAAGCAGAGCAGGAATAATTCTGACAGCCCTGCCCGGCTCTGTTCACTAAGGACAAATAAAACTGCTGGAGTCAATTAATAAAATCCTGCTTCTCGGTTCCTCCTCTGCTGTCGTGACTCATTGATAGCAAAAAGCTGCCCTTCTTCACACCTCTGGTGTTACACTTTAATTGCAATATTGCGTGGCTGGTTCAGCCACATATTAAATTGAGTTGTAACACGTTCACGGCACACACGTGCTCTTTGGAAGTTCTGGCTACTCCAAGAGGATGGGGAAAGAGCCTGGATATCATGGGGAAAACAGGTTAAATAGGATACTCTGCAAACCCAGACATGAAGCAAACGTGAAGGTGGGAGCTTCTGTTCCACGATGCCATACACTTCAAACAGTTCAATCAGACCCCAGAATCTGGAAATGTGCTTGGAAACCCCCATTTAAAACCCTGAGATCTCTGGCAGTTAACAAGAGGCACCTGTGGTTGGGGGTCTTTGCCTCCCAACGTTTGACCTTTGAGTGATTACTTACGGTCTTCCCTGTAACCACAAAGGCCACGGCTGTGCCAGGCACTGGCAATCCCCCTGGGATGGCAGTCCCCCTGGGATGGCAGTTCCCCTGCCATCTGCTCTGCTGGGAAGGGCCCAACTTTTGCTGCAAACAATTCTGTGCTGGGGAAGGCATGAGTCAACTTCACGTGAGAGTCTGGGACAGCTCCTTGAAATGGCAGCTCGTGCTGGACTTGGCCGAGCGCAGCAACGCGACTCAAAGCTTCTGGTCAGAAGATGAACTAAATTAGGGATGGGGACAAAATATTTCTATCTGGCTTCAAATGACACCAAGGGATCGCACCAGTGGGATCTTCCCATCCCTCAGATAGAGCCAGAGGCTGTGGAGATTGCAGGAGGCTGCTGTGAAGGGACCATTTGGCAAAACCAGGATGCAGCCAGTGCCCCCAGCACTGACTGGGGCTGTTCTGGCAAACACAGCTGCAGGCAGAGCAGCTGGTAGTGAAACACCACAAATGAAGGCTTTTAAACCCATTTTTTCAAGCAGTTGTTTTATTTGCAGGATCCTCCCCAATTCCTGCTCGTCCACATGAGCATCAGGCGCAGTGGGGAGGGCAACAGGACCCCCTGCATGGGGAAGGGGCTCAGCACGTTCCTGGCCCTTATTTCTGTGATGACAGTGAGGGGTTGGGAAGATGCCAGGAAAAGCAAAATCCTTTGGATTTCCCAAAAAGGAAAGCAGAAAGCTGGTATCTGACTCCCAGCCCGGGTGTGTGCAGGGCCTGGGCTGGGCTTCTCCTGGCCTCATGCCCCCTCCCCCTGCAGAATGGGGCTGTGATGACTCGTTTAGCTGTTGCCTGATCGATTTTCTTCCTGCCTTGAAACAGCTCCTGCTCTGCTAGCACGCAGGAAGGGCCCTGAATGCTGTTATTCATTCAGCCCAGGCACGGGCATAATCCTTTCCCCTTCTGTCATGCCCATCCCAGGAGGAGCTTAAAGGCTCTGCAAGCTCTGGGTGCAAATGTCCCCGGTCCTGTGGGTGGTGGGGAGCAGCAAGGTGACAGGAGGGACAAAACCTCCTGTCCTGGCAGGGCAGGCAGCTGCAGGGCAGGGGCAGTGCCTTGTCCTGGCTCACCACAGGGGCACAGCAGCAGCTCCTGGCTGAGCCAGCTCCACACC